GGCTAGCGATCACGGTGGTTCCAAAGAATAAAACTGGCTTCAGGGGCAGACGGTGGGCACATGTTCAGAGTGATCTATCTCTGTGCACCATTCAAGTGAAGACAAACGTTTAGAGGGTTTAGACCGTCACTGCCAACGCTTTCTCTGGTGCAGACAGCATTACTGCAAAGACTGTGCTCTGAAGTTGTCAGCGTGGTGTGAGCAGCTTTCTCCCTGGGGCCCCCCTTGCGCCTCATTACACCACCCTGATCTGGAGGCCCATTAACTGCTTCACCAAACGATCAAATCTGATTTAGAAATGATATTCCTCCTCCCTTGAAAATGTTCAAAGACTACTGATGAAGGCACACTAATACACAAAGCATCACTATTTATAATATTGATCTGTGATTATACTGTAAGGGCTGTGGAGTAGAGACCCTTGAAACGGGGGCAGGGACAAGAAGGGGAATTTCAGGAGCGGTGTATTCCCCACAAAGTAGCTCAGCAGAGTTTGCTTTTTAATCACTGCACTGGAGTGGACTGCCACCTGGACATACTGAACCCAAAAGTAGGAGATTGAGGCGCAATAGTCTGGATGGAAATTTAAATAACGTGCAGGGTGTGTGTGAAGGAGAAGAAAGAGAAATTAATTTAATTCCCTTTGCTGATGGGACTCGGGCACAACTATTTTTAGGTATAATCCAAACAGCGCATATCTTTTCCATTTTGATTAATAGAAACTTGGCAGCGAGTCAAAAGAATTAGTATTTCTCAGCACATTATGCCAGAAACGTACAAATAAAACTATATTACCTGTGCCAACATGGTTAATTGGAATTACTGCTAAGGGTTGGTTGGTTGGTTTGTTTTTTTAAAAAAAAGGCCCAGCTTTTTTTTTTTTTTTTTTAAGCGCCTTTCACAATTGGCAGCAAAAGTTACAGAATCTTTGTCATCTCGACCCTTGCTTAGAAGCTCTTGTCAAAAACTTAACTGTTAACATCACCCTGATACTTTGGGTGCAGAATTTCCGCCTGGCACTTTTACACAGTACCATGAGGAAGTTAATAAAATGTGAAATTAAAATAAGCTAGCAAAATGTGCCTCACAAGGAAGGTTTCACAATAGCCACTTAGAAGTTATGATTAATTCCAGCTCCAAAGAAATGCAGACCAAAAAATAAACTCTCGCTGCAAAGTTTTATAGACAAGTTGACCAAGAGACAAAGCTGTGTGCCACACCACCGATGCACTCTGGAGGGAGCGTTCCCACACCCTGGAAAGTCCTGGTGGCCACCCATTAGAGAACCTGACAGTGCTCCAGCCAAACACAATTTCCAAAGGAACCCATCAATGAATCTTATCATGAAGCTGGATTATTTTGATTTCCAGGTTTCTGCTGTTGGTACTTGTGCTACACACAGTCCCATCCACAGTAAGGGTGACTTTTTGCCTATCTGTTGCCCCTCTCCTGTCCCTTCCTTGATTTTGCTGTGTAGAATCTCATCAGTTTAAACAGAATTGGCAGGTTTCTCCTCCCACTGCCCCACCTAACTGGGACTGGCAGTCCTGCCTCCCACATTCCTACTGTAAATAATGATTTCAAAAACAATAAGTTGTTTTCACGGGTATTTGGAATCTTAGACAAAGCCTGTTTCTGAATCTTTGTAATTCTCAGTTGGATTGTTCAGGGCAACATAGATTTTTTTCTATTTCCTACAAACATATCAGCCACTCCTCGGAAGGAAGGTTGGGCAATCTACTTCTGTGGTGATACTGCCTTGGAAACCCAAGGAGGGGTCGCTATGAGTTGGATCGACAGCACATAACAACAACAACAACAACAACAACAACAACAAACATATACCAACAGGTCCCAAAACAATAATGGTTTCCTCTCAGAACATTCCGTAAAGGATTTAAATCTATCTCCTAAATAAATGATACGGATTTGTTCTTAAAGTTTAGAGAACTTTAAGGATTTTTAAGACCTCGGGTTAGGTAGGCCTATATCTATTTTTCATTCTGAGAAAATTCCTTTTATAACAATGTAAAGAATTCTCTAGACAAAATAAGTATACAATTAGGAAACCAGAAAAGTGAACCATGAATCTGGTCTTTAGTGTACTAGATAAAATGGCTAACACCTGCTAACTTTCTCGTAAAACGTGAAGATGGGACACACTTCCTAAAAAACTGGATCTGACCTGGTGGTGATGGTAGGAGAGTAACAGATTTCTATTTAGTTCCCAGGAAAGGGGCAACGAGAGTCCATCCTGAGGTTGATCTTATATTCTCCAGAATAAGTCTCCTTAAGTATTTAGTTTTATATGTTCTAGCTTTACCATCTTGGTCTTCTTTTTCCTTTTCACTAGACAGAAGGGTTAGACTTCATAGCCACTTCCGTTGAGAACAAAACTCTTCCAGCAACGGTCTACTAGTCTTGAAAATATCTCTATTACCAACCTTCCTCAGAAGCCCCCTTCCAAGTCTTGAAAGTATCCCGCTGTAGAAAAATAGGGTAACCCGTCAGTCCTGACTTCCCTAGCAGAAGAGTCTGCTCTGTGTTAGTCAACAAGAGCCAAAAGCTCTGTGTCCTTAACTGGAGTTTCTCTACTGCACAAACACGAAATGAAAAACTGAACTTAAAAATACAAAGAGAAATACTTAGCCAACCTTCAGAGAACACAGAACCAACGTCTGATGGAATTCCACTATGCTTTCCTTAGGAACTAATATTGGAGGGGGGGAAAAAAAAAAAAAGCTAAACCTACTGCCTTGGAGTCAGATCTGACTCACAGTCGATCCCTCCTTGGGTTTTCGAGGCGGTAAATCTTTCCGGAAGTAGACTGCCCAATCTTCCTTCCAAGGAGGGCTGGTGGATTTGAACCGCCAGCCTTCTAGTTAGCAATCAAATGCCTTAGGCACTACTTCACCAGAGCTCCTAGAACTAATATTACGGGGCAAAAAAAATCCTATCCTTGCGGTGTTGTAATTCTGTTAAGAAGTTAACTGATTTCAAGCTTGCTTTTACCTGCAACCTGCCCACCCAGCATTCTGCTGCAATGATCTAATTACACAAGAGAAAAAGTATTCACTCAGGAAGGCATTCTATAAATTTTTACTTAGCCACGAACGCATTTTTCATACTAAACAGCCTCTAGAGAGATATACACACACTGAACAAAAACGGGCTCTTAGAAGCCACTTACCACATTCCAAGTAGGCGACGGACCATTCAGTATGTTAGTCTTCCTCCCTACACTTCCCTGCAAAGGTGCAGCCATGTCACCTGGCCCGGCTGCTTTACTTAGAAAGATAGAGAAAAAAATAAAAAAGTTACCATCCAGTCGATTCTGACTCATGGTGACCGGTGTGTGTCAGAGTACAGCTATGCTCCATGTGGTTTGCGTGTCACTTCTGAAGTTAAGTGCAGCAGATAGGATCTCGACAACACCCACCAGTAGTCCGGGACACTTTGAATCCAGCTGTGAAAACATACAGCAACTGGCAGCTCCCAGAAGGTCCCTGCCCTTTCTTGGTCTAAATGGATTTTGCCATGTTTCCGAGTCATGAAACCTATTAGAAGAGCTATATTGGAAATCCAGTCTGTATTTTAAACCACACAAACCCTCTTTTCCATGATCACTGACCCCTTACAGACACACAGCACGTATCCTGATTGTGCTTCCTTGGTATTTATTGCACATGAATCGATTTCCCACACAGTAGAGCTGCACCAGGGTGTAAACACCTGGTTAAACATACAAGAGGAAACAATTTACACACAAGTGCCAAATTTTACCAGCAGACTCATGGGTGCACTTGGACATAAAATAATAATGAAAAAGTCCTCAAAATAATTATAATATGGACACAATTACAGTACCATGATAAAAGAGTATAAAAAAGTATTCTTTCCAGTAGATCATTAGCTCAATAGCATAATAACATAATAGACAATAGAAGTAAAGTTTGAATTTTATTTTCGTTTTTAAGATCCCCCCCATAAAAAGATTTAATTTCTTTATGTGCAAATAACATCTGTGGACTTTAAAACTTTTAACACTGTGCAAAAATGGCATTTTGAACCACTCCCCCCTTTTTTTTTTTTTTTTTAACCCAAATGTGCAGTTACCTGTTCTGATACTGGAACTTTTTTTTTTTTTTTTTTGGTAAATTTTTCTGTTCTGTCTTCAATGGACAGAGTCACATGTCACAGAGGCTCGGCGCCTGGTCCTTCAAACTAATATTGATAGATAAATAAGCTGTTTAATATAAACAGGTCTTTCTAGCTTCTGTGCAATGTGCACAGTGTGAGGTAGAACTCCCTCAGCCTGACCACCGGCGCGCGGGGAGGTGGGGACGGCAACCAGTGCGACCTACGAAAGCTAAGGAAGGTGAAGCTTGTTCCATAAATAGCTTAAAACTGCTTGAAACAGATTCTTCATGCATGCTTCCCCTCTGCTTTAAAACCAGGAGAAATCATTACGCAGGAATTAAAATTCTCTGAGAGGCAAAAGGGAACATGTCCTGATAAACTGCCCTCCCCCTCCTCCAGCTGACTGCTCCCGTTCCCCCTGAATCGGGTGGAGGCCAACTTGGTGGGCTTTTACTCCCTAAGGCTTCTCCCTTCCCTAATCCACCCAATTTCCGCTCAGGTCCTCGCAGGGAGCGGCAAGAAACCCACCTGGGGAAAAAGAATTCTAAAGATGCCTCGCGCGCACATAGGAAAGAAGGCCGGACCACAAACAGAAGGGAACCCAAGAAAAACCGGCCCGCCCCTCCCCAAACTTTCCTTCTGGGCCACGTTCCCCGGTTTTTCTGTTTGTCGTGGCTGATTCAGACGAGGTTTGTGGGCTTCGCGTTCACCTGCTTTCGGTCTCGAGTAAACACAGCTATTCTTTTCCCCCTGGGAAGCCATTCCGGGACGCCCAGACTCTGCTACTCCCCCGGGCGCAAGACCCTGCGCCCCGGCGAGGGAGCGTGGCGCAGCGCCGGCGTGGCGCCCCGCGCTTGGCCCTACACCTTGGATTCAGAGGCCGAACCCCGGCGGCTCGGCTCGTCCAGGCTCGAGTCGCTGTCCGCCGCCACCGCCCCGCCGTTGCAGCCGGCCCAGGGCTCCAGCAGGCTCGCGGGCGGCGCGGCCCCGACGTCGTCATCGTCGTCGTCGTCTTCGGCCCCCGGCGACGGCGGCGGCCGGGCTACAGCCAGGCAGCCCGACGCGCGCGGCCGCTTACTGGCGGCTGCGTGGCGCCTCCCGGCGGCTCGGCGCGCGCAGCAGAGCAGGCGCTGGAAAGCTTTGCGGAAGTCGGGGCTGCGGCAGTAGATGATGGGGTTGAAGGCCGAGTTGGCGTAGCCCAGCCAGTTGAAGAACACGAAGAGATGGTCGGACACCAGTTCGCGGTGGAAGGCCTTCACCACGTTGGCCAGGAAAAAGGGCAGCCAGCAGAGCGTGAACACGCCCATGATGATGCCCAGCGTCTTGAGCGCTTTCTGCTCGCGCAGGGCCACGAGGCGCGAGGGCCGTCGCTTGCTGGTGCGCCCGTTGGCCACTGGGGTGGCTGCGCGCGGAGAGCCCGGCGAGGGCACGGGCGAGGGTGGTCGCGCCGGGCCGCCGAGGAAGCGGCGTTCGCAGCTGTCGATCTTCTTCACCTGCTTCTGGGCCTCGCGGAAAACCTGCAAGTACACGAAGGCCATGATGCACAGGGGCACGTAGAAGGAGACGACGGACGAGGCGATAGCGTAGGCCCGGTTGGTGACGAAGTCGCAGCACTTGGGGTCGTTATAGCAGCGGCGCGCCTCGTCGCCCTCAGCCCGCCACCAGTGCATGAGGATGGGCAGGAAGGACACCAGGGCCGAGATGGCCCAGACAGTGCAGACGAGGGCCCGCGCCCGCGCGCGAGTCAGCAGGCTCTGGTAGCGGAAGGGCGACGTGATGGCGAGGTAGCGGTCCAGGGCGATGACACACAGGGTCTCGATGCTGGCCGTTACACACAGCACGTCCACTGAGGTCCAGAGCTCGCAGAAGAAGGAGCCGTACTCCCAGCGGCCCCACACCACGATGGTGGCCCCGAAGGGCACCACCAGCAGCCCCATGACCAGGTCGGCGCTGGCCAGGGACATGATGAAGAGGTTGGTGAGCGTCTGCAGCCGCGGCGTCTTGGCGATGGCCACGATCACCAGCACGTTGCCCGCCACGATGAGCAGCACGATGAGCGCCATCAGCAGGCTCATGGCGGCAGTCCACTGCTGAGACAGCGGCGCCGGGCTCTCGCTCACAGGGGGCAGCAGCGAGGGAGGCGGCGACGCGGGCACCAGCAGTCGCGCCGCCGTGGCCGCGCCGTCGGGGAGTGGCGCGGCAGACGACAGGTTGCAGGGCTCGGAGGCGCCCAGGGCGAGCGCCCCCTCGCCCATGCCGAGCTGCGGAGGCCGGGGGCGGGGTGTGTGGCGGGGCTGGGCGGTGTTTGGGGAACACCCCAGAAACCCGGGCGGCGGGGCGCGCCGAGGGAGGTCGCAGCCAGGTCAGGACAGCCGCGGCGTGGGTCCCGAGGCATCGGCGCCGGGCACGTTCCCCGCAGGAGCCAGGGCCGAGTGCAGTCGCCGCCGTCGCCGCTGCTGCTGGAGCCGCTGCCGGAACAGCCGCCGGGACCTCAGCATGTTTCTGAGCGCGCAGGGCCCGCAGCTCCGGCACCCACCCCACCCTGCTCCCACTCCCCCACACCCCCAGCCAACCCCCTGGGCCTCACGTCAGGCTCCTGTAGCCAATCCGGGCCAAGGCACGCCCCTATCTGGTTCCCCCTCGTCGACTCCCCGCACCTCCCTCCCACCGGCAATTAGGTGACTCGGAGGAGAAGGGGCAAAGCGCTTCCCCGGCGCTCGCCAGTTCCTGCTTGCGCGCTGGGTCTTGTTCCCAATTCAGTCAGCAACCGCTACAGAGTCTGGCTCCTTGCGCGTCCCCGCCCCTCCTGCGGCCCCCACTCGCTCTTGTGCTCCGCTCCCGCCCACGCCCCTCTTGCCTCCAGAGCCTCGCTTCCTCCCTCCTTCACACCCCACTCCCTCCTGCGCCCCCAGATCTCCTGGCGCCCCCTCTGTCTCCAGTACCTCGGTTCCTTGCGGAGCCGAGCTCGTGCTCCCTTTAGGAGGGAGGGGATCTCAGTGTCCTGGAAGCACCAGAGCGCCACGGACAGACAGCCTGTCCGTTGTTGGAGGAGTTTGACAGGGAGATTTTTTCTTGATCCGGCAACCTAACAGGGCGCGCGTGTGTGTAAAACTCTTCCCTCATCAAAAGAGGACCCAGCCAGCCTGCGTCCTGCTAGCTCCGGGGATCGGAGGCGGGTGTTGGTGGTTAGAGGAAACTTTCCAGCAGAGCGCGTTGCAGGAGCACGCCGCGCGTAGGTCAGCATCGCTCTCCGGCGTTTTTATTGCAAGGAACTCCTGGCGTTCCAGCGTGGTCGACGCAGAAAAGAGGCGAAGGTTTGTGCAGTGACAGCTAACGCTGAGGATGAGTTGGGCAAACACACAGACCTCAGTCCCAGCTAATGAATGTGTGAGTATGATGCAACAGTATGTGTGGATAATAAAAAGACAGGTTTTAGGAAACACAAATATTACCGCACAAAGTAAATGACACTGCCACGAGGAAAGGGCACATTTAATGACATTTCAGACTTTTCACATCCAGGGATAACGCCTGTATTTTGTGTTTTATTTCACACGTGATTTTATAATTTGAACTGAGTCAATAAAAACAAAGAGGAGCTGTCAGTTTAGGTTGATGGATGAACTAAAATTCCAGATTTCTTGGTGTGCAGGATTGTTTTCTCTTTTGCTCAAGTTCCCAGATTCTCAAAATTCTGGGACTAGTTTTGGAAAGACGAGAGAAGAAAACACATAATACTCAAGAGGTTTAAAATCCAAAAGCATTTAAAGATATATAGCTGGTTTTCGAGTTGGCTAATGAATCGTTTTGAACTCTGTTCATTCATGAAATCTGCCTTGCTGTAGGGTGGATGAGGAGCTCTGGTGGCACTGTGGTTAAAGCACTGGGCTGCTAACCAAAAGGTCTGCAGATTTATAGCCTTGGAAACCCTATGCGGCAGTTCTGCTCTCTCCTATAGTGTCCCTATGAGTGGGAATTGACTCTATGGCAGTGGGTTAGTTGATTGGTTGGTTGTGAGTTGGATTTTATAGGGGACTGACAGGGTTGCCACTGACATCAGAGAGACAGCAAGCCCTTGTCTAATTCAGCAGTGGTCATGTCCTCAGCTCAGGCCTGGAACAGAAGAATCTTTTATTGAATCTTTGAGGAGTAAACTACTTTTGATTTTTTTGCAACAGGGCGTGAAAATGTTATCTAAAGCGCACACCTCAGAAGCAAGACTGGGCAATCTACTTCCATGAAGATTTACCGTGTCAGAAACCCAATGGGGGTCTCTATGAGTTGGAATCGACTCGATAGCAGTAGGTTTGGTTTTTTGCTATCATTAATGCTCACACGTGTTTCTAACACTGGATCAACAACAGCAGCAAAATCAGCATCTGGAAGGAACGTCAACATTTGGCTGAACTTTTATTCTTAACTTCGAGAGAATGACTTCCGTAGCTACCCAACTCAAGAGCAAAAAGCAATGTCTACTAAGTTTGTAAAATCAAACAGTTTAATCTACCTTCTCTTACTCAAATCCAAGTATATAAGTACATAGGTCCAAACTTGATATTCAGTGTTGACAACAAGTGTTGACAACAATTTATTTGGTTATTCACCCTGCCCTAGGACTTAGTGGTCTGTTGTTGTTGTTGTTATTTGCCGTCGAGTTGGCCCCAACTCATAGTGACCCTTCCTTGGGTTTCCGAGGAGGCAGTATCACTATGGAAGTAGAACTGCCCAACCTTCCTTCCGAGGAGTGGCTGGTGGGTTTGAACCGCCAGCCTTCTGGTTAGCAGTCAAGTGCCTTAGGCACTATGCTACCAGAGCTCCTGGGACTTAGTGGTCTACTTCTGTCAGTTTGAGGAGGTTGAGGAGGGGGAGCAAAGAAACAAGAGGGTCTAGAAAGATAGGGAGTACACCCTGGTTACCCTTCTTTCACGTCCTCAAGGGGTAGTCTCCAAGTAGTCAAGGGGTTAGAAGAAGTTGAAATAGATACTTCTCTGGAAAGAGGCTCTGAGTGTCCTGCTGTGGTGGGGGTGGGAAATGTGGGGCAAAGGCTTTCCTATCAGATCCCATCCTTCTGTCAAGTGCTGTTACCAGAATAGAGTGGGCCGGCCTTAAGTGCCCCTGAGGGTGAAGGGACTGCATTTTTGTGAGTGATAAAGCCAGAACCTGGTTGTGGAGGTAGAGTGTGGGAGCCAAGGTTCTGTGTTGTTGTTGTTGTTGTTGTTATGTGCCGTCGAGTCGGCCCCGACTCATAGCGACCCCTCCTTGGGTTTCCGAGGCAGTATCACTACGGAAGTAGGATTGCCCAACCTTCCTTCCGAGGAGTGGCTGGTGGGTTTGAACCGCCAGCCGTCTGGTTAGCAGGCAAGTGTCTTAGCCACTATGCTACCAGGTTCTGTGTAATTACATAATAAACCCTCCAGGTCTCAGGGCATGAGATTTGAATAATTGAAAAACTCTCCTAAAATTTTCCTTCTCATTCAGAAATACTTACATTACATTTCTCTGAATTGCTGTATTAAAAAAATACATGAAATCAAACATTCAAACCAGAAGGTTATTCTAACCAAACCAAAACCAAACTCACTGCCATCAAGTCGATTCAGACTCATAGTGACCCCTGTTGGGTTTCCAAGGCAGTAAATCTTTACGGAAACAGATTGCCCCATCTTCCTTCTGCGGAGCAGCTGGTGGGTTTGAACCTCCAGCCTTCTGGTTAGCAGTCTAATGCCTTAGTTACTATGCCACCAGAGCGCCTGTTATTCTAACAGAAGCTGCAAAATAGGGCGTAAGCATGAAGGGTGCCAGGGATGCTTGGAGCTGTCTTCACTTGTACTGACTGAAAAGCTTGGAATAGTCTATGTTCAACTTGCGTTAGCTTTCTTTTTAAAACAAAAAATTCTCAGATCTCCTTTAATTCCTACATTTCATGACTTTTTGAGACACTTTTTGAGTTTTAATGGGAATTCAAAACCAAGAGGAAAAGCTTATCAGCTTATATAGGTGTGACATGTTTGGGGGTTGTAACAGCAAATTGAGTTAACTCCTCCATCTCCCCATCCCCCACCTGCAATTATTAAAGTGAATCAGTTGTGAACCCACACATTTGACAAAACTTTAGAAAATAACAGTGTTCCAGCAATAACACTCATCGGTGCACTGGAGAGGTGGTGTGCTTCTCAGTGTTACCTGCCCACACCTCTCCCGTTCCCATCCCACGACCATGGCCCCAGCCCTGAACTTGGCATGAGTTCTGTTGAATCTCTCCGCCTCTAGTCCTTCCCTTTGATGTGCTCTGGGATACCATAGCCAAATAATATTTCTAAAGCAGTGCTGTGGCTAGGATGTTTCTCTGTTCAGAAACCTTCACTTCACTGGACATTCAGTATCCTCTACAATGCAGTTCCAAGTGGTCTTTCCAGAGCTGTCTCACACTGCACCTGTCCACACCACCTTAACCTGCACTCTTCTTCCTTTCTATCATCTAAACTTTATCACTGGTTTCCTCCCACCAAGAATCACTTCTTCCTTCGGTCTCAGCGGATTCAGTTTTCAAGACCTGGCTGAAGTCTGTCTTCTTTTCTGTTCTTCTCTGCTGTCTAATTCTGAACATGGTCTCTTCTTCCTCTCACTTCACCTGCCAGTTGCCATTCAGGTGGCAATTAGCAGTATATTGCCTTTTGACCCCTCTTTTATTGTTATTTAATTTTCCAGTGATTGTAAACTCACTGAGCGCCTGGGCTGTCCTATACATTTTTATACCTCCCCTGTTTATTAGCATTGATTCATATACATTTGATATTTAATTAATTTAAATATCTTCACATTTACTTATAGAAGTAATCTCACATTTTGGGAGTTATCTTCACTAATGCTTGGAATTTATCATAGTAACTCATATTCCTATATGCCCTAATCACTATTTCCATATTAACATTTCAGATTTACAGATACAAAGTAGGCTCATGAAATTCCACATCCAGTAATGAATAAAGAGGTCCAAAGGGCCATGCAAGTCACATACTGAAAAGCGCTATCTAATTTCTGTATAAAGGAGCCCTGGTGGTGCAGTGGTTAAGCCCTCAGCCGCTAACCAAATCTGCTGTTGGAACTCACCAGCCACTCTACGGGAGAAAGATGGGGTAATCCGCAGCCATAAACATTACAGCCTAGGAAATCCTATGGGCACAGTTCTGCTGTCCAATTGGGTTACTATCAGTCAGAATTGGCTTGATGGCAACAGGTTAATCTTCATAAAATC